TGGAAGATGGAAGATGGAAGATAGAAATATGGGAGACGGAAGATGGATGATTGAATATGGAAGATGGAAGATAGAAGATAGAAGATAGTTAGATGGAAGATTGAAATGGAAAATGGAGGATGGAAGATGGAAGATGGAAGATAGAAAGATGGAAACGGAAGATGGAAGATAGAAGATAGATGGATGGAAGATTGAAAATGGAAAATGAAGGATGGAAGATGGAAGATAGAAATATGGAAGACGGAAGATGGAAGATTGAAGATTGAAGATAGATAGACATCAAGTTTTCCTACCTCCTTAAGCTAACCCCTCTGCAGTAAGTGCTTTGGAAGATCGGCTACCTCGGTATTTCTCTGTCCATTCTGCTGGTGTACTCGATTGTTCTTTTGTCCCTTTTTTCTTGAAGTGTGTTAGCATGGCCGTTTTGAAACCCCCTCCTTTGTCCCCCTAGGGCATGGTGATGATGGCGGGTGCCACCATGCTTGAAGTCAAGCATCTCTCGCAGTTGCAGGCGGTGGTGGCGGGCGAGATGGAGAGGCGGCAAGTGGCGGCCACACAAATGAACGGAGAGAGCTTGAGGTCCCACATGGTGCTGTCGATCATCATCGAGACCAGTTACCTGCAGACTCAGATCGTGGTCCGGGGGAAGGTGAGCGGGAAAGAAGGGTGGAGGGGGGGAAGGCAGATTCGCATATGAATGAGTAGAGCTAGTTATCTTACTAGGTGTTGTCCATTTGCATCAAGACCACCTATCTGCACACACATGAATGTGAGTCATGTGAGGATGTGCCTCGTTCGGCATATGCTGACCATCCTTCCTTTCCACCCTGCACTCCCACGCGTTGTCCACTAAATCCCTGCTCACAGCTGAGCTTTGTTGACCTGGCCGGCTCACAGCAAGTCAAGAAGTCGCGGTCGGAGGGCGAGCAGCTGAAGGAGGTGCAGTCGATCAACAAGTCGCTCGCAGCGCTAGGCGATGTGATCAACGCGCTGGTTACGGGCGCAGGGCACATCCTGTACCGCAACAACGTTTTCACGCTGCTCATGAGCGACTCGCTGGGCGGCAACACCGAGACGCTCATGAGTGTCAACATCTCCCCAGCCAGTGGCAACCTGGACGAAACCCACAACTCGCTCACGTGAGTCACGGGCTGTTTCTGGGTGAGATGTCTGCCCAAAACTGAGCTTGGGCTTTAAGCCAGTACGCTTTTGGTTTGTCAACATCTCGTAGGCTGTTGAAAGCTGTAACATGTTTCCTCATGTGTGCAGTGGAGGGGTGTGGGGTTCAGATTTGGCAATGGGCACGGAGTTGCAGGGTTTTTTTATATGGGATCCTCAATGATAGCACTCGGATACGGAGTTGCAACCTCATGCTGCTTCTCTGTCGCCCCCTTATCCTCTGCGCAAGTAGCGCTCTCGACACGGTCCAGGGACGGGGGCTGGGCCCTAGACGTCCAGGTGCAGGGTCTGGAGGGGCGCACTGGCAGGACGAAGCGATGAGGAGTGAGGAGCATGGCGCAGCCGGCCCTCGACGCAGGGAGACCTAGGACAAGACTGTGCTGGGATATGTGGCATAGACGCGGGAGCGCAGGGTGACCTAGGCGTTGGTGCCACAGAAGCGACAGGTGAGTGAGCGACCGACACGAGCACGCAGCAGCGACCTGGGTAGACGCAGGACCCGGGGAGGACGCGCCCACCTGGGGGGGGAGCAGTGTCCAGCGTAAAGAGGCCAGACACCGGGTCCTGGGGGAACGTCGCAAGGGGGGAAACTGAGGTAGCCTCGGTACAGACGGCTTACTGCTCGTGACCCGGGAACGTAGTGGTTACGCCGAGGTCCTGAAGACAGCCGACACCGACTAGGTTCCGAGAGAATGAGGGGATGTGCAGGCCTGTAAGGGAACTCGAGGGGACCGCTGGATAGAGGAGGGGTCAGCAAGTGCGATAGCGGCAGGCGTGGGAAGCGGCGTAAGCAGAGCATGGTCGCGGAAGAAGCAGGCAGACGCATCGGAGTCAAATGAGAAGGACAGAGAAGCAGAAGCGGTAGACGAAGGAGCTAGTATGGAGCCTAGACTAGACAAGGCAAACGGTCCTACGCCTGACGCAGCTGGGGTCTCTGAACTACACACAGGTACTACGCCTAAGCTAGAGAACACATGGTAATAAGGTCCGGACACACTAGAAGCGTCAGCATACAGGGAGTGCAAGGCAGAACTAATCAGATCCATGTCTAAGTCAAAAACAGGCACACTGTGGCGCAGCAGTCTGGGCCCGTCAGGGAGGTCCGGGGCCGAGCCGAAGCGACGACAAAAGAGGTCGTCGAGGCGGCGGAAGCAGCTTGCGGTCGAGTGCGGACGGTGGCACACAGTGCCACGAAGGGTCCCGGTCTGGAGCTGGTACTGGCAGCCCACATTACTGAAGCCGGTAAATGCTGAGCTGCGAGGACCGCCACCGCGGCCACCCCCTCCAGAGGCTCCTGGCCACCCCGGTGGGAGGCGGGCCCACGACTGCTGCTCTTGCTGCTGCTGTGGCTCTTGCGGCAGCTGCTACTGCTGCTGCTGCGACAGTGACTACTACGACTGCCGCTGCTCCTGGACGCCTGCCCCAACCCCCTCGTCAGAACCACTGTCGCCGCCACCACCACCACGACCTCCCTTGGGGCCGCGACGGCCCCGACGCTGTCGCTGCTGCTATGGAAAGGCCGCCACTGCGGTCTCAGCGGCAGGAGCAACGGTAGCGACAGCAGCGGAAACGTCAGCGTACGTGCATTGGGAGGGAGCACAACCCTGAAAGATAGGGACTGCTGCAACACCGCTCGACTGAGCGATAGTGCGCTGGTGAGTCTCTATCTCAGAAAGGGCAGCACACTGGCTAAGCGGTCAAGCAAGCGCATGGCAATAAGATGCAAGGTAGCGCAGAACGGCGGGGGGAAGGCAGTGAGCTGGGCACTTGTGCTAGCAGCGCGATAGCTAGTCTCTACTGCACGAAGGTGAGTGACGAGATCAGCGACATTGGGGAAAGCAGAGAGATCAGGGAAGAGCATGGGGAGGACCAAGCGTCCAGCTGAGGCAGAGGCAGGCGTGGAGTAGCGGGCAACTACTGCATCTAAGAAATCTTTGGCGTTTGCGACAGCAGTGAAATGCAGGCGCTCAGACAGGGAAGGGCTTGGCTAATGGCAAGCTGCGCTACAGCATTGCGGGAATCCCATACAGCGCGAGCTAGCACCGCAGCAGCACAGGCCTCAGTCTCAGCAGTGGTGGGGTCAGCAGGGAGGAGATCAGGCAAGGGGGAGCGGGGAAGCAAGCCATCAACATGCATAGCTAGGGAGTGCCCATCCTGGCGCTGACCTGTCAGGTGCCGGCGAAGATCGACAAGCCAGGCGGCGAAGTCAATCGCGTGCCCCACCGTGTCCAGACGTAGCATGGCGTCCGCCATCGCGAAAATGCGGCAGCACCGGGACACAGCGGCACAGCGGCTCAGTGGCACAGAGGCACAGCGACACAGGGGCTCATTGGCACAGGGATACAGGGACTTAGCTACACGGCGGTACAGCGACGTGGCGGCAGGACCCGCCGGAGCAGGAACAGGGCGCGCGAAGAGTTGGAGGGCGCGAAAGGAGGGCCGAAGCGCATAAGGGGCTGGACAGGCGGTAGGGGCCGGCTAGGCACAAGGGGTCGACTAGGGTGCAAGGGGCCGGCTAGGGCGCGAGGGGCCGGCTGGGCGCACAGGGCCAACTACGGCGCGAGGGGCCGACTAGGGCGTGAGGGGCCGACTAGGGCACGAGGGGCCGAAGTGGGCGTGAAGGGCCGGCTGGGCGCGCGTGGCCGGCTGGGCACATACGGGCCGACTAGGGTGCGAGGGGGCGGCTGGAGCGTGAAGGGACCGACGAGGGCACGAGGGGGGCAGCTCGGCGCGCAGGGCCGACGGCGCGAGGGGCCGACTAGGGCTCGAGGGGCCGGCTGGGGCTCGAGGGGCCGGCTGGGGCGCGAAGGGGGGCCGACTAGGGCCTGAGGGGCCGGCTGGGCGCACGGTGCCGTCTAGGGCCCACCACGCTTCCGCAGCACGGCTCTGATACCATGTTAGAATACAAGAATGACTAGAATCAAGTGGAGTTGTACTCTCTAAGAACATACACCTATCTAGCCTATAACTTCTACATACTAACATATGTGTAAGTTGACAGCGTCGTCATGCTTCTGTGACGGCGTCGACGGACGGAAGCTGGCCGCACATCATTTTAGGCGCCGCCAGCTTCCCTGCACATCAGCCAGCGCCGTGTAAGCCACGGCGCCATGCCGACACAATGCCACATCCCCTACACCACCCCTAGTTCCAGCCGCAGATGCTGAGTTCTCGGTTGTCGCCGGGCCGTGCCATGCCACCGGGCATCGCAAGTTTCGTTGTCGCCGCCGCCGTCGCTGCCGCCGTCGCTGCCGCCGTCGTCAACTCTGCCGCCGCCGCCGTCGTCAACGCTGCCGCCGCCGCCCGTCGTCGACGCTGCCGCCGCCACCACTGCCGCTGATACCGTTGCCGCCACTCGCCGGGGGCAGCACCGCCTCGCACGAGGGATAGCAGCCTCTCCTGCTGCATGACCTGGGGGGTGCATCGGCTTGGGGGTGTTGGGTGGGCTTGAGACTGCTGATGTTAAAGAATCACTAGAACAGTGACATACAAGGGAATATAACCTAATGGGTTGTACTCCCTAAGGCACAACCCTATATAGTCTATAAAAACATGCCATATATGTTCGACACACCCCCTAGACTGAATAGGGGCAGTGCCTGAGGAGAGAGAGAAGTAGATCAGGGTGGCACTACTAGTCCAGCCTCTGAGGCAGGGGTATAAAGATGTGAGAGTACGACCCCGTTCCATTCCTTTCTCCCTTCCATTTCATTCCTCTTTCCATCTTGATCCATTTGGTTTTTTATCTCATTCCATTTGGATTCCTATTTCTCCTTTTCCATAAACCTTTGGTTTATCCTGTTATTATCATTATATCACCGACCAGGCTCAGGATGTACTGGTGCGCTATATCTAGCGTAGTTCTGCCATAATCCCTTAAAGCCAATAGCCTCGCGTGGCTATACGCAGGGTGATTCTATTTTCTAGAAGGGTCTATTCCCTTAGGATAAGATAAACCTGGTTACTTGATGTACTTTGGAAGTATAAAAGCGCCTTGTACTGATAATCAGAGCTTGGTAATCAGAGCTTTTCTCACTCGACCGCGCTCAGCTAAGCAGCAGCAGCGGGACTCTTGCCTCGAAAAACCGTCGGGGGCGACTAATTTGACGTCGATTCTGGTAAGCACCAGCTCCGCGCTTTTTCGAATTACCCCCCCCCCCCCGCGCGTGTTTTGAACAGGATGGCGAACTTCGACAACACCGAGGTTACCCAGCAGCCCTTCGCGCGCATCGCAGCCCTTCAGGAGGAAATGTGAGCGGATCGCAAAGCGTGGCGAAACGAGTTCAAGCGAGTAACTCGACTCGCCGGAGCGCAACACAAAACGGCAACAGCGACGACGCAGCAGTCGCAGCAGTTTCTCGAGGCTCCGAAACCGCGCCCACCTGAGCCGTTCGATCCGAGCGATCGAAACTCCGACGTCCGCAGATGGATCGCCGGCATGGAGATCTACTTCGCAGCCGTCGGATGGAGCTCGCCAGCCTGGGACGGTCAACGCGTAAGACTCGCGGCGACACTGATGCGAGGGCCGGCACTCAAGTGGATCGGCGGTAACAACACCTTCATCCACGGCAAAGCCACGTGGCAGCAGTTCCACACCGATCTGCTGAAACATTTCGAGCCGATAAATTCGGGTTTCCTTGCCTGGGAAAAAATTCATCGCCATCGACAGTTCGGGAGTGTAGCGCAGTACACGTGTGAGAGTACGACCCCGTTACACCACTTTCCCCTTTCCACATTTCCTTTCTATTTCATTCCCCTTTTTATCCTGATTCATTTGGTCTTTATCTTATGCCATTTGGATTCCTATTCCTCCTTTTCCATTATCCTTTGGTTTATCCTGTTATGATGATTATATCACCGACCGGGCTCGGGATGTACTGGCGCGCTATATCTAGCGTAATCCTGCCGTAATCCCTTAAAGCCAATAGCCTCGTGTGGCTATACGCAGGGTGATTCTATTTCTAGAAGGGTCTATTCCCTTTGGATAGGATAAACCTGGTTACACGATGTACCCTGGAAGTATAAAAGCACCTTGTACTGATTGATAGGGCAACATTGAGCAAACCTTTTCTCGACACATTCGATCCTGTGACAACACGGAGCAGATGGAGGAATTTTATAACCGCATTCCCGACCTGACCGAAGGGGAAAAAGTACAATCGTACCTTGCCGGGCTTAAGACCGAAGTCAAACGACAAGTGGCAGCAACAAATTACGCGAGCTACAGTGACGTTGTATCGACCGCGGAATGCTTCGACATGGTCAACGCCGGGACACGACGGACGCACGTCAGCAGTACACGACAGGGTGACCGCTCGGCTCACACCACGTTTGCCGACCCGATGGAAGTCAACAGGTTCAAAGGGCAGCCACGTCCGAAAAACACCAACTACACGTGTGATTTCTGCGGGGTGCCGGGATATGGAATCTTTGACTGCAACAAAATAAAAGCCGCACGCGCTGAGTATCGGGCACGCAACAGTGGCGGAAATCCTTCGGCCAATCAGAAGCCAAAAAATGGGACTCGCCAGTGATTGCGGATCTAGCTGGCGAAAAACAAAAGATCCGAAAGCGGCCGCGGATTTCCGGAAAAATTAACTTTGGCGCAGCTGATTCGACGCGAGCAGGAGAAAATGATGGGGAAAAATCTCCACCCCACGACCAGTCTTTGCCAGAGGAAATCTGCCAAAGAGGACGGGGAAACTCCGCGAAAAAGGACTCTGCCAAGACGGGGAAACTCCTTGAAGACCGAAGAAATTATAAGGATTCGTTAAAGTTATCGTACAAATATGCTTTAATGAAAACTTGTAATTCTCGAGGGGCTAGAGCCTTAGAGAAATTTCGGGAGGGACTCAAGAAGAAGCAGAAAGTTGTGGAGATCGCATTAGTACCGGAGAACTCGGGGACCAACTTAAGGACTGTGGAAAGAAGCCGACCTTTCCACGAAGTCAACGTCCTCTCCCGACACCAGCCCACAGCGACTACCCGTTCCCCAGGGAAGACGTCGGTGGAGCTAAAGCAGCTCAAAAGGAAGCCGGGGGTCTACAAGAAGCTGCAAAACCCCGAACTCCTTCTTCGGATGCATCCAACTCGGTAACTTCGTCAACAACACGAACAGTCGTCACGGAAACTCCGGGCCCAGGAGAAGAGCCTTTTCGGCCAGCTGCCAGCTCAGGAGTAGGAAACAACGAATATTGGGATGTACCCTATGACCCAATCAATGAAACTATCTTTGGATAGTCCGAGCAACGCCTGCCCCTCGTGCTCAAGGTCATCTGCAAAGGACGACGCCTCCAAGCACTCGTGGACAGCGGAGCAACGCACACTGTATGCAACAAGGCAACCATCGACCGACTTCGAGAAGAGTACAAGCCATCAGCGTTTTCTGCAACGATGGTGGACGGCAACGAGTTACCAGTGTACGGCAAAGCAGTGCTACACCTACAAATCGGTCCAATGCGCTGGAAACCTGCTCTCCCCATCACCAACATAAAAGAGCTTGACCTGATCTTCGGGCGAGACTTCCTCAAGAAATTCAACCCCGAGATCAACTGGGTAAACCGCACCGCGAGCATCTACAACAAAGGAAGGAGAGTCCGGCTAACCAACTGGGACGATACTGGAGATATCCCAGTGGAGACACTCGCCAGATTCGAGAAGGACGTGAAGCGAACCGACACCGGGTTCCTGGCAATAGCAACAGAGGTGGAGAATGACAGAGAGAAAGCCTCGGAACCTCCAGAAAAAATCAAGGACTTATTGAAGGAGTTCCAAGACATTCTTCCCGACGACCTCCCGGACGAACTACCGCCATACCGAACGCACCAACACGAGATCGTGGAGGAACCAGGTTCGAAACCGACCTTCCGAGCACCATATCGGCTAAGCCCCACAGAACTAGCCGACATGAAGAAGCAGATCGAGTATCTCCTCACCAAAGGACTCATCCGACCATCCACTTCGCCATACGGTGCCCCAGTGCTCTTCACACCGAAACCGGACAGAAGCTTTGCGCATGTGCATCGACTACCGAGCTCTCAACAAGCAGACGATCAAGAACAAATATTCGATACCACGAATCGATGACATGCTTGACCAGCTTCCGGGAGCTACAGTATTTTCAAAACTAGATCTGCGGTCCGGATACTGGCAGATAAGAATGGCGGACGATTCCGTTCACAAAACTGATTTCCGAACTCGGTACGGATCATACGAGTATTTGGTCATGCCGTTCGGACTCACCAACGCACCTGCAACTTTCCAAGCAGAGATGAATCATATCCTACGCCCACTTTTGGACGAATGCGTGGTGGTGTACCTGGATGACATCCTCATCTACTCGCGCGACATGCAACAACACGTCGAGCACCTACGACGCGTCTTCAAAATTCTTCGACGAGAACGCTTCTACGTCAAACTATCCAAGAGCGACTTCGCCCTCGAGAAGATCCAATTCCTCGGACATATCGTAAAGCGCTCAAGGAGTTCACGTCGACCCCAAGAAAATCGAAGCCGTGCGTACGTGGAAGACACCAGAGAACGTGAAGGAGTTACAGCAGTTCCTTGGCTTTGTTAACTACTACAACAGGTTCGTGCCACAATACGCGAAGATCGCCACGCCACTCACGAATCTGCTAAAGAAGAACACACCCTACAAATGGGAGCCACAACACCAGGAAGCCGTGGAGCAGCTGAAACAATCACTCACGTCCGCACCCGTACTCATCTTGCCAGACCCCGAACGCGACTACGTTATCGAAGCTGACGCCAGCGACCAGGCAGTGGGAGCAGTCTTGATGCAAGACCAAAGGAATGGCCTGCAACCAATTGCCTACCTCAGCAAAAAATTACATGGATCAGAACTCAACTACCCGATACACGACAAGGAGGCCCTTGCTATCATCATCGCCTTCACAAATTTATTATTACATGGTAAGCCTAGACTTCATCACCACACGATCCTCGTCGTCATCGACAGGTTCTCCAAAATGGGACACTTCATCCCGACACACACCACAGCACGCACCGAGGAGACAGCACAACACTTTGTTCGCTACATCATCTCACAACATGGCATTCCAACCACACTCATCTCCGACCGCGACCCCAAGTTCACCAGAAATTTCTGGAAAGAACTGATGTCTCTGCTCGGGACCAACCTCGCCATGTCATCCGCATACCATCCGCAAACAGATGGACAGACCGAGCGCCTCAACCAAATTGTGGAGCAACTCCTCCGCGCAGCCTGCAACGACGACATCTCCAAATGGGACTTGCATCTGCCCGTCCTGGAGTTTGCCTACAACAATGCTACTCACGCCGCTACTGGACAAACGTCGTTCTTCCTCTGTTACGGATGCCACCCACTCACACCTCAACAGCCAACCATACCAGCCACAGTCCAACCCGCTCATGATTTCATCACGACCATGCACAAACTTTGGGATCGGACCCACAAGCGCCTTCTCGACATTCAGCACCAACAGAAGCGCCAAGCCGATCGCCACCACACAGACCACACCATCACCGTGGGAGACCAAGTACTACTCGATACACGCAACCTTAACATCAGCCATCTCCCAACCAAACTGCGACCTCGCTTCTGCGGGCCTTTTCTCGTTGAAGCACAGGTCACTCCTGTTACCTTCCACTTACGCCTGCCAGCTACCTGGAAGATTCACAATGCCTTCCATGTTCAACTCTTGAAGCCCTACCAAGATCCCAACACGGTCTTCTGTGGACGCCAACCGCCGCCGCCGCCGCCCGTCCTCGTCCATGATGAACCCGATTATGAGGTCGAGTCCGTGCTTGCTCACCGCCGTTGACGGAATAGCACCGTGGAGTTCTCATCCGTTGGAAGGTTTATGATCCTTCAGAAGATAGTTGGATCTCTGAATCCGAGATGGATCACGCTCATCATCCTCTTTGCGACAACCTTGTCAAGCAGGGTGTTACGTCTACCACCCAGCTTTGAGGGGGGGAAGTGTGAGAGTACGACCCCGTTCCATTCCTTTCTCCCTTCCATTTCATTCCTCTTTCCATTGTGATCCATTTGGTTTTTTATCTCATTCCATTTGGATTCCTATTTCTCCTTTTCCATAAACCTGTGGTTTATCCAGTTATTATCATTATATCACCGACCAGGCTCGGGATGTACTGGTGCGCTATATCTAGCGTAATCCTCCCGTAATCCCTTAAAGCCAATAGCCTCGCATGGCTATACGCAGGGTGATTCTATTTTCTAGAAGGGTCTATTCCCTTAGGATAAGATAAACCTGGTTACCTGATGTACTTTGGAAGTATAAAAGTGCCTTGTACTGATTGATAGTGCAACCTTTCCTCGAAACATTCAATCCTGTGACAAAAGACCAGTCAAACGAGTAAACACAAGGCAAGAGCAAGACCAGGGCCGCACTACTAGTCCATCCACTGGGAAGTGGCTACAAGGCCAATCAGGGTAATATATATAAAGGTCTATACACAATCAAGGTCCTAGCAAGTGAGAGGCTACAGGAACGAGACCTAGCCGTACACAGTGCCGCTGATGATCTTTAGGCGCAAGCGCCTTCGTAAAGATATCAGCTGTGTTGGCATCTGAGGCCAAGTGTACTACACGAGCCTGGCGACGCTGCTGCAGCTCCCGTAGGAGGAAGTGCCGCAGCTGGATGTGCTTTGCTCTGCCCTCAAGTCGTGGCTCTGTTTTCAGCGTACAGAACCGGGGTAGAGCTAGCCACTCACCCAAGTCGGTGAGCAAGAAGGTCAGCCAGCGGAGCTCCTGTGCCGCCATAGCACATGCGTAGATCTAAGCCTTACAGCTAGACTGGGCAAAAGACGAGGAGCGGGTGGACCTCCACGACATGGCACCTGCACCAAGGCTAAAGCAGTAGCCCTGGGAGGACCTGAGAGTCTCGGCTTCGTCTGCCCAAGAAGCGTCTGTGTGCCTGGTAAGGACCACTAGTCTACGTCCTCCTAGCACTAGCCCCATGCCTGATGTACTTGCTAGATAACGCAAAACCCTCTTAACTGCAGACCACTGCTGTGGTCGGTGTCTGTCGGGGGCCACAAAGCGAGCCAGGATGCTGAGAGGGTATGCGAGATCTGGACGAGTGCAAGTCATCAGGTACATGAGGCAACCCACCAGCTCTGCGTAGGGACCACAAGGCTCTACAGCCTCCTCCGGGGCTGGGGCAGATAGTATGTGGTCTACTAGCAGAGGGGTAGGCTGTGCGGAAGAGAACTGAAGGCCGAACCTCTGAAGGACCTGGCACACCAAGTCTAACTGTGAGAGAATGATGGTGCGCGCTGCTCTGTCCCTGGAGATCTATAAGCCATGGTAGCGGCGTAGCTCTCCTAGGTTAGTGCAGGTGTGTCTCCTCAGCAGCTCAGCCTTCACAGAGGCCAGCACGTCTCTGTCTGCAGTAGCAAAGACCAGGTCGTATACCTAGACAAGGATGTAGAACGGAGTCTGGCCCGAACAAACGAAGAGCGAGGGGTCTGCAGACGAAGGGAGAATTGCAAGTCAGCAAGTGTAGCACGCAGCATGTCATGCCACTTACAGGGCGCCTGGCGCAAGCCGTAGACGGGGCGCTAGAGGAGCCACTCGGTGCTAAAGGGAAAGGTACCGGAGAAGCCCTGGGGGCGGCGCAGGTAAAGCTACTCGTGTAGACTGCCCTGAAGGAAAGTTGTGGAGAAGTCGAGGGAGTGCAACTCATAGTGACGCTATGCTGCTACGTGTAGTAGTGCCCAAAGAGTGGTCATCTTCAGGGTCGGGGCAAAGGTCTGAAAGAAATCCACCCTCTCTCGCTGACTGAAGCCTCGAACAACGTAGCGCGCCTTGAAGACAGGCGGCTCTCCAGGAAGGCGCTTCGCCTTGAAGAGCCTGCCATCGACTACGTTCACCCCAGGTGGGGGAACCGCGTCGACGAAGGTACCGGTGGACCTCCAAGATGCCATATCCTGCTCCATGGCAGCTATCCGCTGAGAGGCACAGGGTCACGAAGTGGCCTCAGCGTAGGTGCAAGGGGTCACGATGTCAGGGACTAGTAGCATGGAGCAGAGATGGGGAGCGGCCTTAGACAGGAAAGCGAGCTCGAACTGGAGACCAGAGCAGTGGTGTAGTCCAGGCGGCGGGTAGCGACGAAGTCAGTGATAGCAGCGATGAGCCGACAGACTGGAGACAGGAACGGACGGGTCAGTAACGAGAGAGGCAAGGACACGATGAACAAGGGGACACGCAGCACGAAGGAAGTCCGAGAACAGAGACGGGGCCACAGAAAGTGACACGGAACAGGGGAGGAGACAGGAGGAGAGGAGGAGCACGAGACGCGTGAGAGCGCAGCAACATAGGGTGAGAACACGGAACAAGGGAGGTAGGACGAGCACGAGACGGACGACGAGACCAGACGTGAGCAGGAGGAGTCGGGTCAGGAGAGAGGGGAGGAGACACAGGAGGAGAACGGGGAGGGAAACGAGCCGAAGAGGAGTTCGGGGGAGGAAACACTGGGCCGTGCACTGGCGGAGGAGGAGGCGGTGGCGACGGGGGAGGCAACGGCAGGCGGTCAGGGGAAGGAGGACCAAGGAGGCGAAGAGCGGACACCGGCGGCGACGGCTATGACTGCTGCCCGACTCCAACACCAGAACCTCCAGCGACAAGACGACTCCCTCCGAGAGGCCCCACGCCAGCACCCCCAGAGCCCTCTCCAGAACCAGCTCCAGCCCGCTCCCCAGCACCCCCAGAACGCACGAACACCAGCGGCGGTGACGATGGCGGCTGCGGCTGCGGCGGCAACGGCGGAGGCAGCTGCGGGTGGGACAGCAAAGGCGGCGACAGGGGAGGGGAGGCTGGGGCAGGGACAGGCGGGGGAAGAGACTCCGCCGAGTCACAAGAGTCAGCGGACTCCTCGGCAGGGACAGCTGACGGGAGGGGGGTGACGTGAGACACACTAGACGGGGCAGGGCAAGGGGGGGGAGGAGCAGGGGCTAGTGGTGGAGGGGGGGAACCAGGAACTGGGGGGGAGTGACCGGGGGACCTCGATGGGGAAAGCGGTGGTAGAAGGAGATGGACTCCTCAAAACTGACGTCGCCAGAGTGAAAGAAACGGTGAGAAGGCGGGTGGTAGAACTGCCAGTCAGACGAGTCGACGGGGAAACCGAGGAAGACACAGGGGACGGTGCGGGCAGTGAGCTTGTCCGTGCCGGAGGCACGAACGTGAGCAAGGCAGCCCCAGACATGGAACGGAGACGCAGCGCTAGGAGACCCGGTCCAGAGAAGGGTCGGCGAAACCTGCGGCCGCTGAGAGTGCGGCCACAGTTTAAGCTGGTGGGCGGCGTAGCGAACGGCGAACGGCCGTAGAAAATGGGATGCACTGGCATGGATCATGGAGGTACGAGCCACCTCCATGACCAAGCCAATGCGTCGCTCAACGGCCTCATTCTGCAGCAAGGAGTCCGGCAGGGTGAACCTTTGGGTGATGCCCTCCGCACGACAGAAGCGACCAAGGCTGCCAGAGGCGAACTCGCCACCACGGTCGGAGTGAAGGCGCAAGACAGGGAGACCTCGGTAAACACACGCAGAGACAAGCCACGGGAGAAGGACGTCAGGCACGTCGGCCTTCCGCTCCAGGGAGAACACGATGGTGTAGCGTGTGTAGTCGTCGACAAGCACTAGGAAGTAGCGCTCGCGACGCAGCCCATGGACGGGGGCAGGGCCCCAGACATCCATGTGCAGGGTCTGTAGTGGTGCGAAGGTGGGGGGGAACAAGGAGGAGTGAGGAGCATGGTGGAGTTGACCCTCGACGCAGGGCGTGCACGTTGGCGCGGGTGAGGAGGGGAGCGCAGGGAATGACTCAAGGAGGCCTAGGACAAGACGGTGCTGGGACATGTGACGGAGGCGAGTGAGGGCGGGCTGACCTAGACGGTGGTGCCACAGAAGCGACGGGTGAGTAAGCGACCGACATGAGCACGTCGCAGCAACCTGGGAAGACGCTGCTACATGGGGAGGCGTCCAACCGGGGGGTGGAGGTGTCCAGCGTGAACAGGCCAGACATCGGGTCCTGGGGGAACGTGGTGAGGGGGGCACCAGTGGCGGCCTCAGTACAGAGAGCGTACCGCTCGTGCCCAGAGAACGTAGTGGTGACGCCAAGGTCCTGGAGGCAGCTGACACCAACTAGGTTCCTAGAGCACGAGGAGATGTGCAGGCCTGAAAGGGAGCCTGAGGGAACCGCCGAACAGGGGAGAGTAGTGGAGCTACGGGCAATTACAAGACCGGAGGAAGGGTCTGCAAGAGCAAATGCAGCGGGAGCGGCAAGCGGCGGAAGTGTAGTGGAGTCGCGAAAGAAACACCGGGAAGCGACGGAGTCCAGGGTGAACACCACGACGGAGCAGACTGTGCCAGTTAGGGAGGTCAGGCGACGGGCCGAAGCAGAGACATAACAGGTTGTCTGGACGATGGAAGCAACGAGTGGGGGTATGGCCGGTCTTACTGCACACGTAGCCGCGATGAAGACCGGTCTGGAGCTGGTACTGGCAGCGCTCGTCACTATGACTACCACCTGACAGCATGCTGCGCGCACGACCACTGCAACCACCATCGCCGCTGGCTCTAGGCCACCTGTGGGGGAGACGACCGACCCGCCGCTGCTGACGCTGCGGCGACGGTTGCTGCTGCTGCTGCGGGTGATGCGGCTGCTGCTGCTACTGCTGGTCCAGCGACGGCCCCTGCTGCTGCTGCTGCTGGGACTGCTACGTCGGGGCACCAGCCCCAGCCCCCTTGTCAGTACTACCAGCGGGCGAGCCACCTCCACCACCGGCGCCACCCCCTCCTCCGCCACCTCCGCCACGCCAAGCCTTGGG